GGGACTTCCCCGGTGGTCCAGTGGTTGAGAGTCTATCTTGCAATGCAGGGCATGTGGCTCTGATCCTTGGTCAGGGAACTAGGATCCCACATGCTGTGGGGCAGCTAAGCCCATGCACTGCCACAATTGAAGAGAAGCCCATTTACTGAAAGTAAGACCTAACACAGCAAGTAAATATTTTAAAAAAGAGAGCGTTATAGATAGACCAGGACCCTGGTAGAGAGGGTGGAGCTTAGAGAGAAAGGAGCCTCTAGACCCCATCTAAGGAGGATTCAGTGTGAACTGATAGGTCACATGATGAGAAAAGTGATGCTTTTCACCAATTACTGCACACTATTATCAGCCAGTAGGATTATTTTCTATCTGGTTACAAACTGTACCTGCAGCTGTGGGCTTTCGGCATGACATGCCAGAATGAAGAGAGGTATTCATCAAGAGTTCACAGCCCTTTTGGCAATGAAGTCAGGCTGCATTTTTAGCACACATATTTTGGTGTCTATCCCTGAGGAGGAAGTTATATTTAGCACATTTCCTGCCAGCCACCGAACAGTGCAAGACCTTCTGAGTCTGGAGTTAGTCACAGCCCTTTATGTCTATCTATGGAAGGTCTCCTTGTAAACTGCTAGGCCTGTGAGGAGCCTGAATTGATAGCGTGAACTGTAACCATAAATCCTTAGAACCCATCAGGAAAGGTGCCGATTGGGTGATATGTTCATAGTGATTTCTTAGCTGCCCTGGGAAGGTCAGGAAGGCCCCAGTCAGATAGAGTGTGTGTGTGTGTGTACACGCTGGCACGCATTCATGTGCTGAGTGTGGTAGTGTAAACAGGGCACTCTGAGTGACCTTTCTCAGACTTAAAAAAATTTTTTTTTTAACTAGAGTATCGTTGATTGACAATGTGTTAGTTTCTGTTGTACAGCAAAGTGAATCAGTTATACATATACCTGTATCCATTTTTTTGATTCTTTTCCCATACAGGTTATTACAGAGTATTGAGAAGAGTTTCCTGTATAACTAGTGTATAGCTATACATTAGTTAATCGATTTTATATATCAATTACAGTCTCCCAAGTTATCCCCTCCCTCTTTTCTCCCCTGGCAGCCATAAGTTTCTTTTCTACCTCTGTGACTTTATTTCTGTTTTGTAAATAGGTTCATTTGTACCGTCAGATCCTTCTTGTACCTGCCTCTGAGCAATGTGTTTGCACTGTGTTGGAAAATCAGGTCAGGATGTTATGCAGCCTCCCAAAGAGAAGTGGTTCTGGAGCAAACAGGGGATGGACTTTCAGGGCCATAGGCCCTCCTTCTCCACATGGATCTCCTGGGTCAAGGGTCAGAGACACAAAGTCTCTCAGATCAGTGCCTGCAGACAGGGGGCATCAGAATCTCCCAGGGCATGTGTTTAAATGCAGATGTCACGGTCTAACTCCACACAGGTAGACTGAATCAAACTCTGGGGTATACAGTCCGGGAATCTATATTTTTAAAAAGTACCCCAAGTTGTTTCGTGATGTGAGCAGCTTTGCCGACTACTGTCTCACTTGGCCTTTTCTCCAAGGGGATGGTAGCGCACTCTGTGTTGACATCAAGTCCTTTTGACTTTACCTCCTAAACATTTCTTGCATCTTCTATGTGTCTACTAGTCCCTGGCCAAGTCCGGTTCAGTTCAGTCGCTCAGTCCAGTCTGACTCTTTGTGACCCCATGAATTGCAGCATGCCAGGCCTCCCTGTCCATCACCAACTCCCAGAGTTTACTCAAACTCATGTCCATCGAGTCGGTGATGCCATCCAGCCATCTCATCCTCCGTCGTCCCCTTCTCCTCCTGCCCCCAATCCCTCCCAGCATCAGAGTCTTCTCCAATGAGTCAACTCTTCGCATGAGGTGGCCAAAGTACTAGAGTTTCAGCTTCAGCATCAGTCCTTCCAATGAACACCCAGGACTGAGTGTTCATTTAGGATGAACACTGAGTGTTCATTTAGGAGGACACTGAGTGTCCTTTAGGATGGACTGGTTGGATCTCCTTGCAGTCCAAGGGACTCTCAAGAGTCTTCTCCAACACCACAGTTCAAAAGCATCAATTTTTCAGCGCTCAACTTTCTTCACAGTCCAACTCTCACATCCATACATGACCACTGGGAAAACCATAGCCTTGACCAGATGGACCTTTGTTGGCAAAGTCATGTCTCTGCTTTTTAATCTGCTGTCTAGGTTGGTCATAATCATGCCTCTGCTTTTTAATCTGCTGTCTAGGTTGGTCACAGCTCCCCTTCCTAGGAGTGAGCGTCTCTTAATCCCATGGCTGCACTCACCTTCCGCAGTGCTGCCTGCAGCTCTGGCCTGGGCCACTGTGGGGGCTTTCCAGCTTGCCCTGCAGGGGCTCATCCCCCACCAGTCGGTACTCCACGTAGCAGCAGAGTGGTCGTTTCCAGTCTCAGATTCTGTCACACTCCCCTCATTCTGACCTTCGCTCTGGTGTTTCTTCCCATTGCTTTTGGATGAATATAACATTCTTCTCACAGCCAGAGGCCCGGATCACCACCCACCTCCCCAGCCTCTTCTCCCAGCCACTGTCCCCGCTAATAGGTGTCTCCACAGACCCGCCCCCACCCCCTTCACTGCCCTTCCTTCAGGCTCAGAAGGAAGGTGTCACCTCTCCAGGTGTGCCTTCCAACCTCTCAGGGGCCACACTTTTCAGTCTCAGTTTTATACTGATTGATGTAATAATCTGATTAAACACAAGTTTCCACATAGAATGTAATTTCTCATGAAGGCAGGGGCCATGTTCCTTCACTATCATAGCCTAGTTATCACCAACAGTGATACCTGTTGACACCCCTGGTGATAACAGGCATTGCTGGTAATGATTTGAACATGTTTGGACACTTGGCACACCTCACTTCTCTTGGCTCAATCAAAGTAAAAATTTACTGAACAAGAACTAGGTGCCAGACATGCCCCTTATTTCTTAAGCAGCTTGTGGTCTGGGGAGGAAAGACAGGCATGAAACAAGTGACTACAAGTATAAGTTTTACAAAGGGGCATTTGAGTAAGCCATGGAGGCACAGAAGAAGGGGTGCAGGTCTCGTCTGGGGCGGGGGGGTAGGTCAGTGGAAGGCTTCCCTGCATAATGCATAAGGAACATTTGAACTGAGGTGAGGATGAGTGGTTTCCCTGGTGGCTCAGATGGTAAAGAATCTGTCTTAATGCAGGAGACCTGGGTTCTATCCCTGGGTCTGGAAGATCCCGTGGAGAAGGGAATGGCAACCCACTCCAGTATTTCTGCCTGGAGAATCCCATGGATAGAGGAGCCTGGCAGGCTGCAGTCTATGAGGTCGCAAAGAGCTGGTTACCGCCGAGTGGCTAACACTGAGGGCAAGCAGAACAGGGCATAGGGAGCCGTCCGGATAGAGGCCACGGTGAACTTCAGATGACAGGGCTATTTAATGGGCAAGTAGGGAGCACTCAGTTCAGCCTAATTCTCTATCCTCTCAAGTGGTTGGCTGAGATGACCTGTGCTGACCTGGAGACTGGGTGGGGTCCAGAGGGCAGATGATGCACTAAACAGGGGGGCTTGTGCATGGGTACCTCTCAGGGCCCCTCCTCTGACTCACACATCACAGGAGAGGTTGTGAATTCAGCACCACCCCCAGCACTCTTGTCAGAGCAATATTAAACATCATCACCATGAGTGGTTTTGACTCATTTCTTTATTAATATAGAAAAGGAGCCCAAGGCAGCTGGACCAGTAGTACAAAGCACCAGGAGTTAATACTATTCTGGTGAAAGGGTTGGCTTTACAAAAGTGAAGAAGTAGGTGGGAGTGACCCTAGTTCTGGGGCCAGGCCCCGCCTACTGCCCAGAACCAGCCCCTGGGAGAGAGTGACAGGTAGGTCAGGGACAGATGAGCTGGCGACCAGAAGGACAGGCAGCAGGGATGGAGGGCCAGGCAGTGAGAACCATCCTGTGGCTGATGAGGACAGGGAACTGATGGCTGGAGGCTCCCCACTGGACCCTGGGCAGAGGTTCACGTGAGCAGGCAAAAAAACCCTGCAGATACTAGAGAGGATGGGGATCCAGACTCAGCTTGGGGTCGAAGGGCCTTCCCTTCTTTCCATCAGGGGTCACTGTTCTCAGTACTACGGGTGGGGCTTCAGGGCCCAAGGCACAGAGGGTGGCCCAAAGGCCTCCCAGTGGGAAAAAGAAGGGGCAGGGAAGGAAGCACTTGAGTGTTCCCGGCTTAGGCAGCCAGGGCTGAGACACAGAGCAGGAAAACAGAATCCCCATACAGTGAAGCTGGAATGTGTGGCCAGGTGGGCTTATCCTTGGCCAGGACCAGCTCCGTGGCCTCGATGCCTGCCTCAAACCTTAGCAAACAGAGTCTGCCAGGAGCCCTGAGCTGTTTCTCCATGGACCAGCCATGCCTTGCCCTGCCCCTTGCCTCCTCTGCTAACAAAAGATTTGGATATGACCTCCTTAGGTCACGGGAGCTCCAGGACCTGCTCTAGGTAGTTAAGTGGGAACCAGCCCCAACGAGCCCCTGAACAGAACTGGCATGGGTTGGGGTCCAGGGGTGATGGAGGAAGAAGATGTCCTGCATGGAGCCTCCCCCCTCCCCCCGCAGACACACTCCAGACCTGGGCAAAGAGCCTCTCCTTTGTCTGGGAGAAGCAGCTGCCCTCCCTTGGCACAGGGGGGATGTGGCTTGGTGCAATCCCTTCACAACCGCCACCTGGTGATACCGGCATGGAAAATGGGGTGGCACTCTACAACCCTTCATGTGCTTCCCCGGGGTGGGGAGCTCAAGGCCTCTTGTGGCTTTTGCCTCCAGCCTTCACTGTGGGGGGCTCTTTCTTCTTCTGTGGTCCTGCCCTGGGGACAGCCCGAGACTCCGCCTGGCTGGCACATGTTAGTCAGTGAGGGAAGGACAGAGGGGTAAGTAAGGAGACAGGAAGGTGAGAGCAACTCTCTGGCTTTCTCCTCGTCCTCCAGGAAGAGCAGCTCAATCGACTGAGTCGCAGATCTCCTCCACCACCGCGTTGAAGATGTGCGGCTGGTCTGCATACACGTGATGCGAGGCACCCTCGATCTCCTATGGAGGGAGGACCCCACCAGAGGCAGGATGGCCCTTTATTCTAGGCACTGGAAAGCTGCCACACCATTTCTTTTTCTTGTAAACCTGTTTGCCTGTTGCCCGTAAGCATGTATTGTATCTAAGACAACTGTCCACCTTTCTCCCCATATCCTGGCACTTCCCAGTGGCAACCAGTGAATCCCAATGTCTCATCCTTTCCTCTCCTATGGTCCCTGATTGTATCTTTCCTTCCATGCTAGTCCCACTATGCTCATATCATCCACAGGTTCAATACCCAGGGCCCCTGAGGCACCAGACTAAGTAAGCACGAAGTGAAAATCCTTAGGTCGTGTCCAACTCTTTGTGATCCCATGGACCTATTATAGCCCACCAGGCTCCTCTGTCCATGGACTTCTCCAGGCAAAAATACTGGAGTGGGTAGCCAAAAGTAAGCACACTCCTTAGCAAGTGAAGGTGGAGGCAGGAGAATGGTGGGAAGGCTTCTTGGCAGCCTCTATTGTGCCCAGCTCTGATTTGGAGTGAGAATTACAGGGAAGAGGAGCAGCATGCTCCCTATGCCTGACTACTGGACAAGAACTTGCCTTTTAGCTTGACTGGCTACACAGAAGTGAGGAACCCTGAATTATGATATTACAGAGAGCCAACCCTTTCAAATTCATGACCCAATCTCAAGCTTTCCACTCCTCTTTCTCCCTGACTCTCCCATCACCATTCGCTCCCTGGTCTCATAGCTACACTGAGTCAATCAACATATGCTGCATGTTGCGAGATTCCCACCTCAGTCTGTCCCCTCTGGTGGCAACGTACCAAGTCTCGGACGTAGGAATCCGGCCGCTGCAGCTTCACCTTTTTCCCTGTGCTGGTGTCTATCCAGGTGTTGGCCCCATAGATCATGGTGATGGGCACATCTTTTCGAATCAAGTGAATTCGCTCTAACATGGGGCGCCGGGCCCAGCCGAAGGACTCCATCATGGCTTTGAATGCCGTCTCCCCACTGGAAAAGCCAAATAGGTGAGGCGATGAGTAAATGCCACAGCATAAAATGTCAATTTGTGGGTCTCTCAGAGGCTGGGGCAGTATCTTTGGCATCTTTTTGTTTACCTCAGAGCCCAGCACTAGGCTCATTAAATATTAGGAAGATGACGAGACAGGACTGAATCTCCAGAGGGTCCGGACACAGATGAGGTAGGAGGGACACACTTGTGAAAACCCCATGGCACTGAGGATTGTCTACTAGCATAGCAGGTTAATATGTATTTAACAGCTATTGATGTGGCAGCTCTGGGCGGAGGGTGGGCACATATGAACAAGACACATGCAGTGCCTGCTCTCCCGGAGTTCCCATTTTCCTCATCCTTCAGGCATTACATAATGAACTACAGGATTAACTTAACTTCAAATTTCCCAAGAATTATGAAAGGGTGGTGAAGTTCTAGGAGAACACACACTAGGGAGTTGGCTGGCTGGGGCTGGAGGAGAGGGTCGAAGAGTTTCTTGACGTGGGCTCTGAAGGGCAAGAACTACAGAAGCACAGAGGGTTAACTGAGGAGACTGGGGAATGAGAAGCCAGTCTTGCGAGGACCCAGGGGGGGCAGCAGTTTGTGCTACCTGAAAAGCAATGACGGCCAATCTAATCTACTTTGCTCCCTGGTCTTTCAGAGGTCGTGCCGGGAGGGGTCTGCAAGGCTGGAGGGGAAGGCAGCTGTCCGGACGGCTCTGTCACTTCTGTGGGAAGCAGGAAAGGCTGGGGTGACTGGCACCCAGCAGGCTTGGTCTGTTTGGGGGTTATGTCCCCAGTCTCCTTAGCATCCCTGAGATGAAGGGGAGCCTGAGTTCTGCACAGGTCACCAGAAAGAGTCCTTTCCTAAGACACTGCAGCACAGTGAAATGGTCATGGACTCTGGAGTCAGACATACCTGCAAATCCTGGTTCTACTTTCTTAGCAAGTCGTGGAACCAGAATACACCTTAGTTCTCTCATCTACAAGCTGAAGAGAAATTATACCCACTTTTTGAGGTCATTATGGGGAAAATGAAAATATGTACAAAGCCCCAAGTTTAATGAAGCGAAGTAGGTATCCCACCCCCCAGATATTATTCTTTTGCTAAATTATATGTTTTCCAAGGGAATGGTAACAGTTACCATGAACTCAAGATTACAACTCAAAAAGACTCAGGGGCTTATAAAACTGAGTGATGGTGTTTGGGGGAAGCGGCTGGTTATCACCAACATCCTCTCTGCTTCTTCCAGGACCTGAGTGACTTGTGTGACTACATACTCTGTGGCTTAGATGGGAGGCCATTCATTATACTGAAGAGGACTGAGGCTGGGGAACACTCTGAAGAAAGGACTAGGGGTGGGCCTGCTGCAAGGCCTCAGAGGGTATGAGATTGGCACCGAGCCCAGTTGAGAGGGGTCACAAGCAGGAAGCTGATTCGACTGTCGAACTGAGTTTCTAGACTGCTGTTTAAGCAGGACCCTTCCATCAGTTGAGCTTCTGAGGAATGCTGGATGGACAGTTCCCACGCTGCCTGAAAGCAGTCTGAATTTGAGGTTAATGCTCAGACAGTGCTATTGGAATGCAAAGTCCCAGTTGCTTCACAGCTTCGGACTGAACAGGCCTGAAATGAGGCAGGGCAATGCTGCTGCTCCCAGTGATCTTGGCTTGCCTGCGATGCCTCCCAGCAGCTTGGGGTGAAGTCCCCACAGAGGTGGTGCCTCATGGTATCAGCAGCTCACATGGCACTGACCAAGAGAAGATTACTTCCCTAACTCCGCCCTGGCTGGCGGCTGCCAAGACTGCGGATCACAGGGTACGGGCCAGGGGCCCACTGTCTGAGTTGTCACAAACATAAGCTTGTTGAGATTCTGGGGACATCCTCAATTCTCCAAAAGACAGAAAAGGCATTCCTATCCCAACAGTAAGTGTTTCAAGGTGCACAGACATTAAGTTTTAAAATGTATAATCTTTCCATCAGCAATTCTATTTGTAGGAATGTAGCCTAGAGGTACAGTCGGACGTGTGCCAAGATATACAAGGAAGCTCTCTGAAGCAATATCACATGATATCTCAGACAGAAAATAACAAGAAAATGAGGGAGTTACAGGTCTGGGATAGGATAGGACTTGCTTTCTTTCTTTTCCTTTACAAAAATAGCATGTTCATAATACTTCTTCAGTTAAAAAAAAAAAAAAAAGATCTTTGCAAATGTTTTCCAGACTCTTTGCCTGTCAGGCCAACTGCTTACTTCCAGGGAAGAGTAAGGGTCTTCCTCTATAGAGACAGGTGGTATGTTTAATTAATCTATTATCTTCTCCATCCCTTTTTGCCTATCCCTGGGGAAATCTCTGGAAATAAGCACACCTGCTAATGCCTATGTTCCCCTAACTGGATGACAGCTCTGTGGAAGAAAAAAATACAGCACAGACTGATCTTGGGATATTTCTGGAGTTTTCCAGCAGCTGGAGTTTTAGGTCCAAACCCATCGACGTTGAGCTGACTCCCAGAGCTGCCCTCACCTGGGATTCTGTGCATTGCAGTGGTAGATATACTCTGATATAGTATCATCATCAAAGAAGTCTGCAAACTTGCGCTTGAAGTCCGGTCGGAATCGCTGTACCAGGCCGGGCCCTAGGAGGGAACAGAATGTGGAGGGGCCAGTTTGAGTGGGGAGGAAAGACCCCTGTCATTGTATGTTTTAACAACTTTAACCAAACATTATTTCTCTTAAGGGTTTGTTTGCTTTGTAAACTTAAGGTTATAGTGACAGAGCATGTTAAGTCTTTTGGGAAGCTCCACGTAACTACAAATGAGAGTCAGTTAGTTGCCAGAAGTTGGATAGTCTAAGGTCACTGAGGAACCAGATTATTTGCAGCTCAATGAAATCCCAAGATCCTTTCCTCCAAGGATCACAAACCACACAAGAGTCCATGGTTGAGATGCTTTGCTTTTATGGTCTGAGCTGTGTTCTCTTTCTCCCTGAGAGCATGTATGGCCTTTTAATCTTCTGAAGGTAGTGGATGAAACTAAGAGCCCTCTCAGGTTCAGGCCTGTAACAGAATACAAGTGATGAGGTAAACCTAACACTGGCATCTCAGACTCAGGGCAAAGTTTTAGAGAAATCTGTTCCTTCCACCTTTCTTTAAATAGTCCATACACAAGCAGTTTAGGGCCCTTGAAACACACTGTAAAAATTGTGCCTCGTCATCAGCTTCTGGCCTCTCTCTCTCTTCCAGTCTGCTCTCTCTGTGTGAGGAGGGGTGAGAGGGAGGCATGGCAGGATCTCCTGGGCACTAGCCCTACTCCATGGCTGCCAGCCACCTGCCCCTACCATACTAGCTCTGATGTCTATGCACGGCCCTGGCCGAGGCAAGTCCCGAAATGGGGACAGTGGTTAGAACAGGGCTCCTGCCTGGAGGATTATGGAAGGTCTGCTGGAGTGCACAGTGCTGGGTACCCTAAAAAGACCAGTCCTCTGCCCATTTAGTACCTTTTGGCACCTGTGTCTCTTGTTTTCCTTCCTTTCTCCCCAGACTCCTACCTTCTGCTCAAGTGCTCACTTTTCTCTTTTACCCAGAGTCATTCTGTTTCTCTTGAAGGGCCTAGAGAGACAACTCTTATTCGGCCACTAGCAATTAACTCCTAATAATTAGCAGCTGAACATTACTGTGTATATATAAGCCATCAGTGCAAGACAGAGCATCGCCCACCTTTACCATAAAGGGAAGCTGCTTTAACATAAAGGGAAGCTGCTTTAACTTCATTAAAAAGCCCCTCTCCAGACAGGAAGGTGCCGGCAGTGTGAGGTCGAAGCCTGGGGCCTACTAAATCTATGCACTCTGGCTGCCCCACCTCCTTCCTCTCTTCACTCACAGGATTTGCTAACAGCTACTAAGTGGAGATGTGGTGTCTGACTGGGGCAGGACATGGTGTAGAGGGGCTTGCCTGCCTCTGTAGGTGATGCTGGAGGCTCTGGTTCTGACCTCTCCTGGAAGCAGATGCTGGGTGAGCTGCAGAGATGGGATCCATAGTGACCACGCTGAAACACCAACAGCTGCCCCAAACCCACACATGTAGCATAAAAGTTCAGCAGAGGAAGAGTCACCTCGTAACCCCTTTCTCTCTCTCTGGGGCACAGAGTACAAGTTCTGCTCCATCTGTCTCTTGAATAGAAAAGATTTTTCCATGCAGATGAAGGGGGGAAAAAAACCTTCTGAAACTGCCAACCGAGACATTTGGTCCAGATGAACAGCTTTAAATAATAATGCTAGGCTTATTCCCATTTTTCATGAACAAAAGGGGATGGTGAGAGTCCAGACACAGGGGGGCTTCTAGAATGGGACAGTTGTGGTTGGAGGAGACAGTTTCTTCATCTGCAGGCTACTCACCCCAGGGCCCAGCGACTCGAAGAACAGCCAGTGGATTGGAACGCCCTAGGACAGAGACCACAGCCTTGACCCAGGTCGGGGGTGCACGGATCTGACTGGGGTCAGTTGGTCGGAGGGGAAAGCCCCATGGGTCCACCAGGATGAGGTGTTTAACTCTAAAGGAGGAAAAGGGAGAAGACAAGTTTTCTTTGCTTGAAGGTACCATAGCCCTTAAGTTGCCCAGGAATAGAACAACTGGAAATGGGTAATGGAAGATTCCCAGCAAGGCACTGTTGTAATGGAGACAGGTGGCTTCTCCTTACCTGTCAGGGTACTTGATCGAGTAGGAAGTGGCCAGGAATCCTCCCAGACTGTGCCCTAGGAGAATCATACTGGGGATTCCCATGCTCTCCCGCCACGTTTCTATTGAGGTCACAAACTCGTCCTCGGCCCCCTCTGGATCCCTCGGGAACATTGGCCTCGAGCTTCGCCCAAAGCCTAGCAGATCGAAGGTGTGTAGCGTGCGGCGGGTGCTCAGTGAATCCATGTTGAGGATCCAGAGGCCCACGCCGCCCCCGAAGCCATGCACCATCACCAGTGGGGTGCGGTCCCTGAGCTCAGGGCTCACTGTCACTGTCCAGATCTTGTTCTGGTTTGGGAGGGACACATATCGAGCCAGGAACTTGTTCTGGAGGCCTGGGGAGAGGGGGTGCAGGGCAGAGGGATAAGACTGTGTGCTGACCACATCATCTTTTTGCTTGGACTCCCACTTTTCAGCTCTCTCTCATCCCCAAACCCTTCCTGGCCTCTCTCACCTTTCCTTTTACAACTCTCTGATCATACAGCCTAAGAGTTCAACTCCAAGTACATTTTGTAGATGTCTATTGTTAGTAGTCTTAATTGCTTAGTTGTGTCTGACTCTGCCACCTCACGAACTGTAGCCTGCCAGGCTCCTCTGTCATTGGATTCTCCAGGCAAAAATACTGGAGTGGATTGCCATTCCCTTCTCCAGAGGATCTTCCTCACACAAGGATTGAACCTGGGTCTCCTGCATTGCAAGCAGATTCTCTACTGTTTGAGCTACAGGGAAGATCCTTGTAGATGTCCAATCTGTAGGCATTAAGAGGGGCCATTGTATTCCCTGGGCTCCCTTTGGGTCCAGGGCAGAAGTGACCCCACAGAGCTCTGGCATTCATCACTCTTATACTTGTATATGCCTGGGGCTTGATCGAGGGAGAATGTGTCCTCACTGAGGGTATCTGGGAGGGTCAAGCCAGGTCCCTATTAGGGAAAGATGAAGGTGGGCAGTGTTTGCTCTGCCAGTGTGAAGGCAGTCACACAACAGAGCACCTGAGGTAAGTCACATGGATTTCAGACAGAGGCTTGAAAACTGACTGTTCTGTGGCTGTACTTACTCAGGCTCAAGAGAGAGGGTAGCTATGGCTAGGGCAGAGGGTGCAGGGCAGGAAAGATCATATGAGAAATATGGGAAGATGGGGCCCAAGGGTCTTGTTTGAGTTGGTGGCTGCTGGTGCTCCTAGGGGGATGCCCTGACCCCACAGAACATTGCCTAGGAGAACTGGCCAGTGGGAGTGCCCAACTACTCTGGTAATTGGATGATGGGGAGGGGTGGCTTATTGGGTAGAATACAAGGAACAGTAATATTAGAGAATATAGGATTGCTGGTCCTTGGCTAGGAAGGTGGTAAATCTAAGAAGTGTTTGTCTGATGAGAAAGGGAGAGATGGAAAAAGAATAAGAGAAGCAAGAAGTGAATGTGTATTTGTACACATCGTATATTAATAGCTGGTACAGGGTTTGAGGTGAAGTTGTAGGATGTGGCAGAAACCAGCATGCTGGACAGGGTGGGAGATGTTAAGGAACTGCTATCATAGAATGTGCACCCTCTGCACAAATTGCTTCCCTCCAATCATGGACATCCCTTCCTTCTATATTGAGCATTGTCAACCAGGAGTCAGTGGGCTCACTGGGCCAGGCTCTGGGAAGACCCTGTATTCTGGGGCTCCCGAGGGAGGTCGCACAGCCACCTTCTACTTACACTGGAGGATCCTGGCTTCTACATTCTTCAGTTGAGACATGGAAGTGGGGCGCCAAGTGGGCAGCCAGCTGCTCAGCCAGCCTTGAGGCCTGGGACAGGAACACACAGAAACATTCATTAGCAATATTGCAAACATTGATACTCCCAGTCTTGCTGGCAGTTACAAAAGAGTTATCAAGGTGCAGGGCATTTCCCAGGCTCAGGAAACCTGCCCCTGTGGCAGTCAGCAGTTCCCTGGCTGCCTGATAAACTGTTACTCTTCTCTGGTAAATGGTTATTAGCAACAACATACCCTTTGTTTCAACAGATACTCAGAACACTATGTGTACAGCACTTTACAGTTTATAAAGCCCTTTCACTTTTTTTTTTTAAATCTCATTTGAGCTTTACAACTCCCCTTTGTTACTGGTTATTATAATGTTCAAGGAAGTTACAAGGGGCGGGGGAAAGGCCAACTTTTAACTAATGTTTCAGTTCTCCTTTGCCATGCCTAGGACTGTATGTTCCTTTAGAGCAGGATGAATTCCCATGCCACCTGCCCTCCTGGCAGAGTACCTGGGTTGCTCTATGCCTGCTTCCCAGCCCCTGGGAGCCCAGAGCACTGTGTCAGTGGCCAGTGGGGCTCTCAGGCAATCAGGCCAGACTTGAATGATGTGTTGGGATAGGCAGGGAGTAGGAGGAGGGAGACCTGGGTTCAAACTCAGTTTTGATCCCCTGATAGGACGCATGTTGCCTCTGGCCTTGTTTCCAGATTATAAAATGAGTAGAAAGCTCACCACCCACCACTTGCAGTAAAACAGGTAAGATAACCTATCTTGTTTTCTACTTTACACCCAGGGGACTTTAAGTCATTGCAGGGTACAGGTTGAAAGTACCAGTGTTAGAGTAATTTTTTTATAACCCTAGATTTACGTCATAGTAATGTCATTTATGAGAAGAATGGTGTTGGCCTGATAAATAACCTGTCTTTGAGTATCCAGCTATGAAAGGAATCTCATAAGGTGCCTGGGATAAAACAGATGCTCAATGAATCGCTTTTGTTATTCCTTTTCCATCCCATATTTCTCTTTCCTTGAACTCTGCCTAGATGAAGTGGATTTCAGGATGGACACTACCAGCTACAGGAAGGGCCTGTAAACGTCAGACTAGTCAAGCGGGGGCATTCTGTGAAGGAGTGAGGGCAGCTACTACTTATCCCCTCTCGCTACACACTGGGCACCATGCTGCATCATTCGAAGTGCAGAATTTTAGATGAGGCTAGTTCCTTAGAAATCTAGTCCAGCCTCTTAATTTAACAGATGAGCAAAGTGATGCCCAAAGAGGCCATACATTTAGTTAGAAAAAGAAGCAGAACGAGGACCTGGATCTCAAATCCAGGTTTCAGGAATTCCCTGATGGTCCAGTAGGTTAGGACTCTGTGCTTTCACTGCTGAGAAACAAGGCCAAAAAAAAAAAAAAGTCAAATCCAGGTTTCTCCTTGTGTTTCCTCTGGACATTCCAGCCTCAGCTTTTTAAGGCCACACATGGATACTTCAATATACAACCAGTTTTACACTTGCCTGCTTTCTGAAAGGACATGTGACCTAAAGCCAGAGGTCAGAGTTCTAATACTGGCATCACTACTCATCAGCCAGGTGAGTGTGTATATATATACACACACATACATATATATGTGTATATATACACATATATATGTACACAATGCCCTTAGCACATTATTTAGCCTTTCTCTGTCAGAGTTTCCTCATCTTTAAAAGGGAGGTAATAATAGTATCTACTTCATAGGGTTGTCATAAAGATCGAATAAATTAAAGCACAGAATAATGCCTAGCACAATACACACACTCAGTAAATGTTCTTTCCCCTGGCCAAATCATAAACTATCCATATTCTGTGCTTTTCAAGTAGCAAATCTCAGTTACTCAAATCTTAAGAGGTTTGAATTACTGAAGCTGCAGCTGAAACTTGTCCGTCAATGGCTTTAGCTGGATGAGAGCTGTTAGTTTCAATCCTACGAAGACTCAGAACCCTTCAAAAATCCACTGGAATTCCTTACAGGCTTGAGTGCGGGCACCAAGACCACAGAATGTTGCTGGTCTTAGGAGACAGACTTTCTCTCCATCCTACAGAGACTGTGACAAGTCAGAGCATGTCATATGGACCCCACATGGCCTTGTATCTGCCCAAAGTAGCACTCAGGAGAGATGCTGTCCCGAGGAACAGCATCATGGGCTGCTCTGCAGAGATCCTCAGATATCCCGCCTTTCTTCTTCACTGAAAATGCTACCAGTAAAGTGCTGGAAATGGCACCTGGCACACTATCTGCTCAGTACCACTGGGGAGATAAGAAGGCCTGGGGTGGGGAACTGAGACAAGAAGCAGAGTGGTCCCTAAGCCACAAGCTTAGCCTGACTGGGGTGGTCTCATCCTTCTAGGGTCAAGGGATCTTTACCCTGATGGTGGGTGAGGCAGAAGAGGTTCTGTGCTGCGTAAGAAGCCTGTTCTAGACCTCTGGGATATTGGGGTCTAACTTCTTTGGACACTGGATTCTTCATTTGTAAAAAGAAACTGCACTGACTGAATATCAACTCTAATATTCTGTGTTTCCTTAAGTCATTGTAGGTATTGTAAATTTCCTCTTGAAAGCATCATTTTGGAAAGTACCACTCTCCTTGGCAGTTCCTTCAAGCCTGTCACAACGTTATTAGTTTTGCAAGCAGCTCCAAAATGGGGGGAACACGGGATTCAGGAAAGGCCCAGTTCTGGTATAACCCCGGCTTGGGTGGAAGCTGAGTCATTCTCCAAGCAACTTTTCCTTGTTCCTATCTGACGGTGAGCTGCTTGCCACACCACCTACAGGTGGCATCCCAAACTTGATGTCACTGAGATCGCGGTAACAAAATCCTAAGCTCTAATACTGAAACCGTAGCATTAAGGAGATTGTTAATGATGATTAAAAACTATCAACTAGGATTGCTGGCGAATTAAGCGCCTGGCTGGGCGAAAGCTAAAGGAACTTGCAAGCCTATTAACCCAGACCGATTCCAGCCCAGGGGAGCCCTCTCTCCGCTTTCCAAGCCTTCGCGTTGCGGCGCTAAGCGATGCTCTTCCCACACCTCCGACTAGCGTCCGGGAGCAAACGCAGACTAGCAGCAGAGCTGGCTGCTATCCCCGCACCCGCGTCCACACACGCTTGCTTTGAGGGATCTGAGACATCACCACTAAATCTAATCCCAGGGTGCAGGCACTAGAGGGGAGCGAGGAATGATCGCCGAGACTAAAGTGGAAAGTCAGAATCGCCGGGCTGCAGGCAAGCGTTATCTTCCATCGTTCCCTCGGCTCTGCGGCCGCAGCTCCTGGGCAAAAGCAAAGCAAGCAGCCGCAGCCCCTAGCCCTCCCCAGAAGCCGACCTGGAAACGAAAGGCGGGAAGATGTCTAAAACTGTTCCTCAGCCACAGACAGCCCCAGGTTCACCTCCGAGAGAGAGAGAGAGAGAGAGAAAAGGGACAAGGTTAACTCACTGCTGGTCCAGATCATCGGCCATAGTAAACAAGTCCTGCCGGGTTGAGCTGAGCCAGCCCATCCCTCCGCCTGACGCCAGCACCAGCTGACCCAGAAAAGGGTCGGATAACAAAGTGGGGCGTGGCCAGCGCCGCGGCCGGGGAGGTGGGGTCGCAGGACTCAGGCTGGGCCAGCCGGGACACGTGAGCTGTCTCTGAGCCCCGACCGCAGTCAGGCCACACATTTGGGGACAGCGAGGGAGGTAAGTAGTACTGAAACTACGAGTTCCTCCGTCAAACCTCCATTCTCTGATAAGTAAAAGAATAGAATTACCCCTGCACGCTCCCACACACTCTTCCCTATTACAGACTCCAGTCCCCCCAGGTCCTCTCCTTAGCGTTCCTTCTAAGCAGATGTTTGTGGACATAGTGCCAACGGTGGAACGCTCCTACGAAGGGCCTGGGACCTTGTGGCCCAAGTAGACTGCCAGATTTTGTAAATAAAACTAGGACGCCTAGTTAAGGTTGGATTTCAGATAAACACCAACTACTTTTTTAGAGTAAGTCTGTCCTGTGCAATATTTGGGACATAACTGAGCATCTTGTATTTTATTTGGCCACCCCAACCTTAAGCCACGCCAGCCAAGATGAGCATTCCTCAACCCCCTTTGGCCCCAGCCAGGTTCTCAGGAACAAGGTGGCTCAACCTCAGGTCTCCGTCAGTTTGGACGATCCCTGCCTCCACTCCCCGCTGGAGGGTAGTTGAAGGACTAACCTGTAAAGCTGGGTCGGTTTTAAGTAGCTGGAATGGGAGCGGGTGGTGAGGGTGAGAGAAGTTCTGATTGGTTTGCTCCGCAGAGGAGCCAAATCTTAAGGCTGGCTGGCTGGCTCCAGAACTTACCTGAACTGGATAACAAGGCCTGATGTCTCTGTAACCGGCATCCTCTTTTATTTATTTATTTATTTTAAAAATTTATTTATTTTTTCCGGCATCCTCTTGATAAGCTTAAAAACCAAACTAGCAGTGGAGGGTGGGAGAATACTGATGCTAGGGTTTGTCAAGATGGGTTTTTTTTGGTTTGTTTTTTTAGCCTTCCTGGTAGACCCAGGAGAGTCTGCGATTTCTTCTTTCATGTAACACAGTGTTAAACTGATCTGATTATCAAAGGGCAGGAAGTTCAAGAGAATCGGTATTTAATACACTATTGATACTATGTTGAAATAGGCTAACTAATGAGAACCTACTGTTTAGCTCAAGGAACTCAGTGCTCTGTGGTGACCTAGGTGAGAAGGAAATCCAAAAAAGAGGGTATATATGTATACATATAGCTGGTTCTCTGCTGTACAAGAGTCTAACACATTGTAAAGCAGCAGGTAAAGGCTCCCACTCCTGCATTCTGGCCTGGAGAATCCCATGGACCGTATACTCCATGGGATCAAGCAAAGAGTAGAGCACAACTGACGACTGTCACTTTCACACTCCAGTAAAAATTAATTTAAAAAAAGAGAGAACGGGCATTTTTAGAGCTTGGGGGTCTAGGAATTTGCAAGGTGTGGAGCAAGGTAGTACTAACAAATGAGGACCCATCTTGTCACTTGTATTACCACAGAGTGATCCTAAACCTCAGGATGCATGACCATCATCTGGAGGGCTTGTTTAAAAATTCAAGTTTCCAGGACTTCCCTGGCAGTCCAGTGGTTAAGACTCCATGCTTCCAATGTAGGGTTTGAATCCTGGTTGGGAAACTAAGATCCCACATGCCTGTGAGGTGCAGCCAAAAAAAAAAAGTTGCTACAGCCCTCCCTTCTGAGATTCTAATTCATTAAGTTTGGTTTGATGCTAATAGCTGCATTTTTAGGAAGCACTTCAGATGCTAAAGTTCAGTAGGACTCATTGGAAATTAGAAGATAATTTCTAGGGTCAGAATTCTGGGTGCAGGTCAATTTTGGCTTTGCAGCTTATCTGCTACATCATTGTGAGTAAATTATATAGCATCTCTAAATTTTCCTCCGTCTCCTATTTTGTTGTAAGAATTAAGATAATTCAAACATTTAGTACATTTGTTTATGCTAAAAAGTTACTATTATTATTAACATACCTATTCAAAGCCCAGCATTATGTTAAGCACTAATAACACCATTATCAAAAGTAAAGAAACAGGGACTTCCCTGGTAGTCCAGTGGCTAAGACTCATTTCGTTGCAACAAAAGATCCTGCATGACGCAACTGGAACCTGATGCAGCCAAATTAATTAATTATAAACACACACATACACACACACAAACCAAGGTGCTAAGTGTTATGAAAAGGGAAATGTTGCCCATAATTTCAATAAATGAATATTACCTGCTGTTCCAGTAAACAATGAATGTTGCCTGCCATCAGGCCATCAGCCAGAGCAACTGTTGGCCGCCCACTCAGCCCACCCCGCCATGGTGTGCCCTGAAGGGAATTCAGGATGGAGATAAACAGGAAACTGTCTGTCCTAGATAGTTAAGATGCATATCTAAGGAATAATTCTTATGCGTAGTTAAGGACTAAAATCACTAACTTGAGATGTCTGGTTTTTGTGATTTCCATGTTCCACTACATGTCTCCACCCCCTGACACCCCCACCCCCCACCCCCCCATCCCCAGCAAAAACTGCAATATATCCTGGCTCCTCCCTTACCTCTTGGGAGCAGTTCCTCAAGGCAATCTGAGGAAGGTCCCCAAATAAAACTTAACTCTCAGCTTTTAGTTTGTGCAATTTTTCTCTGGTTGACAGTGTCAAGGGCTTTTGGAAGCTGTGCCATACAGGATATTCCAGGTTACATCACTGTTAGGTTAATAGAATCTCCCACTTTTCAGAAAACCTGTAAGATGTAGAACTTTTCAGGGTAAGCAGACCTGGCTGAGCGCTGAAGAATTGATGCTTTTGAACTGTGGTGTTGGAGAAGACTCTTGAGAGTCCCTTGGACTGCAGGGAGATCCAACCAGTTCATCTTAAAGGAAGTCAGTCCTGAATATTCATTGGACAGACTGTTGCTGAAGCTGAAACGCCAATACTTTGGCCACCTGATGCGAAGAACTGATTCATTTGAAAAGACCCTGATGCTGGGAAAGATTGAAGGTGGGAGGAGAAGGGGACGACAGAGGGTGAGATGGTTGGATGGCATCACCGACTCAGTAGACATGAGTTTTTGAGTAAACTCCGGGAGCTGGTGATGGACAGGGAGGCCTGGCATGCTGCAGTCCATGGGGTCGCAAAGAGTCGGACACGACTGAGCGACTGAACTGAATTCGGCTGATGACCTGGCTGGAACTGATGTTAGATCTCCCTCTCTTGAGGCAGTGCAGAGGCGTTTGTATTTTGTCTTTGTGTGCCAAACCAGCTCTACTGGTTGGTCATGAGTAGGAAACTTCAATATGTGGAAAATGCCTTTTATAACTAAAGTTAAGAGATCTCTTAAGATGTCCCTATTACTGATCTGAACTTGTGTCCACTTGCTGTGCAGCAAAGCTAATCTATTGACACTGGGTTGTGATGAAGGAAAGTATAGTGGTTATTGTAGGCCCCCAGCCAGAAGTACAAGTGGCTTCTGCTCAGAAGACCTGAACTCCCTGAAGGCTTTCAGGAAAGGGTTATTATTATTTTTTTTAAAACTTATTTACTAAAATTTTTTAAAGTTGATATATTTTAATAGAAGTATAATTGATTTACAATGTTGCATTAATTTCTTCTGTACAGCAAAGTGATTCAGTTATACACATACATACATTCTTAAAGGCAACATTTGAGGTGAGAGTTACAAGGTGCATGACTTTCTTCTGATTGGTTGGTGGTGAGCTAACAGGATGGGGTTTTAGGAATTTTAATCATCAGCCTTCTGGTTCCAACCAGTCTGGGGTCTATGAGCTTGTGTTCAGCATGCGGTCACCATCCTCCACCTGGATTGGGGGCGTCAGTTCCCGCAGAACACCTCAAACATAAATGTCAGGTCATTATGTATATCCTTTGGGGAAGAACCAGGGATGCTTTAAATTGTTTCTTGACTGCTTGTCCTTTGTTTCTGTGTTCCCTCATCTCCCTAATTAGTAACCACTTGGGTCTGCTCTTTGGCACTCAGGGAAGGCCTAGGACACCAAAGACTTTTTCTTAAAAATAATTGTATTTATTTATTTTTGGCTTTGCTGGGTCTTCCTTGCTGCTCGGACTTTCCTCTAGTTGGGGCTACTCTTCATTGCAGTGAACAGACTTCTCATTGCCATGGCTTCTCCTGTTGTGGAGCATCAGCTCCTGGCTTGCGGGCTTCAGTCGTTGTGGCTCGTGGGCTCGGTAGTTGCAGTTCCAGGGCCCTAGAGCACAGGCTCAAGAGTTGTACAAGGGCCTGTGGGATCTTCCCAGATCAGGTATGAAACCCATGTCTCCTGCCTTGGCAGGTGGATGGATTCTTTACCACTGAGCCACCAGGGAAGCCACAAACCCTTTTTCTACAAACAAGAAACAGGGGACACAGGAACTTTTGTACCAGGGAGGGTCCTACAGGGCTCTGTTTGGTCTCATCCCCAGAGCTGAGATATCTCAGGGTTAGGCTGGATCTGTTAGAATTACAGAGTGGAGAAGATTCTCAGGGACTGCTCTAGACAGGCCTCTGGGGAGAAACACAAGGTACTTGCTTCTCCTTAGCTTCAAGATAAGAGTATATCTTTTACCTCTAACATATGTGAGTCTATGTATGATTAAAGTATGAATATGGTCTTTATGAATGGAAACTAATTTTTTAACAAACCTCTTTCCTGTGCCTGTAAATCACATTAAATTTTCCAGAAATAGGTGGAACTGATGACCTGATAGCTCATGCCTGCCAGGGATAGATTGTTCTTTGGTTTCAAATGGGTGTCATTGCCTTTTGAATGAACTATAAATAAGGTCTGACCCTCAGATTAAACAAAGAAAGTGAGTAAAATAGCTCTAAAGTCGCTCTCTCCAATATGATAGCCATCAGCCACATGTGGCTACTTAGATTTGAATTAATAAAAAATCAAAGTTCCTTAGTCACATTAGCTACATTTCAAGCACCCAACAGCCACCCACATGTG